CAACTAGATTGAAGAACAAAACGACAGCAACTTGTCTGTTCCCCTTCCCCTAATTTCCCAGTACTGTTCCCAACCCCCCAATTACCCAATAAAAAAATCTTTAAAAAAAAAAAAAAGAGTCACAGAGGGTAAAGTCCAACATAGTTTAACTAGGAATCCCAATTAAAAAAAAAAAAAGATATGATTCTGACCCTTCAAAAGGCTTAAAAAAAAAGAGGCTTTCAAAAAATACTACTTAATACAACTTTTAGCTGGTTGGTCAGCTAGCTAGCTGATAAAAATAATGAATCTAGTTGAAGAGAAAGGTCTACATAGAAAGTTTCAAGACAAGGCGCTACACATTAAACTCCAAATACAGACAAAAGAGTAAATTCTATAGTTCTTCAGAGGACAACAAAATAGTAATCATCGTGGGTTTGGATTGTTAAGAAAAGTTCATGGGAAAGGAAGAGCCTGAGTAGAGCTTAAAACGATAGATAAGGTTTGAAGGTAAATGACAGAGACAGAATATACTAGTCTGGTGGTGAAGGGCAGACTGGAATAGTCAAACTCAGTAATGCAGGAAATAAGACTAGAAAAAAAGATGGGATCTTTAATCTTAAATTTCAAACTAAGAAGCTTGATTTTAATCTTACATTCAAAAGGAAAGTAAAACAAATGTATCTTAGACTTTTGATTATAGAAAATTTCAATATGAACGAGAGTAGACAGAATTAGATAATAAACCCCCAAAGACCCATCAATCTTGAAATTTTAAATGAATTAAGTATGTAAGAGAGACTGCAGAGGGAAGCAGTAAGTAGAAAACAGTTAATATAGCAGGCCTAAGACAGCTCTCCTTCAAAAGGTCTGCTTACAGTTTGCCCCTTGGTTGGCATCAGAACTTGCATGGTCAACAGTTCTCTACAATGACACAGAGTGGGTCACAGTGCCCAGACTGTACAATGTGGCTTACACACACTTCTTTCCTTCTGGGAGTATAGAATTTTAGTATATGTTAGGCAGAAGGTGGCTGTGTCACCAGCCTCTAGTAAGAACCTTTAGAACAGAGTCTCTAATGAGCTTCCCTGGTGGAAGGCAACCTTCACCTGTTGTCAACTTGATACTATTTGAAGTAATAAAGTGCATCCTGTGTGACTCCACTGGGAGAAGACTTTTGGAAGCTTATATCTGGTTTTTACTCTGGGCTTTGACCATGCATTCTGCCATTTGCTGATTTTCCATTGTACCCTTTCATTGTAAAAAATCACAGCCTTGAGTCCTCCTAGAAAATCACTGAACCTGGAGATGGTCTTGGGGACGCCCATCACGAGTGGTCATTATGTAAGAAAGACCATGGCAATTATCCCGACATAGAACCAAGACAAAGACAGTGGTAGTGGGAATGAAGAGGCCAAAACTATAGAAAATAATGAAGAATGAATTAACAGGATTCAATGATTTAATATGGAGTGAAGATAAGAAGAAAAAAATGTTTCCAAGGGAGGTTTCAAGTTCCATGCTATCTTTACTCCTCAGAAGCCCTGTTTGTAGAGCACATTGTATTCATAAGACAAATGTATTAACTTCAAAAGTACTTTTCAGGCCGGCCGAGTGCCGTGCTGGTTAAGAGTTGGCTTGGGATACCAGCTCTGAGCAGCAGGTCCCCGGTTCAGATCCCACATGAGGACCAGTGACACTGCCCTCTACAGCTAAGATGGTGAACAACAGCTTGACCTGGAGCTGGGCTGCCGTGAGTCGACAGCAATGGCGCAGGCTGCAGCGGTGCTGCAGTGGGCTGCTGTAGGCTACCGTGAGTGGCTGGCAGCCAGCGTGAGCAGCCGGCAGCCGGCTGAGCTGCCAAAAGCCGCCGACTGATCTGCCTCACCCACAAAGAGCACAATGATAATACCAACATGGGCCAGTGAAGCGATGTCCTCCACAACTAGACTGAAGAACGAAAGGACAGCAACTTGTCTGTTCCCCTTCCCCGATTCCCGAATGCTGTTATCCCTCCCCCAAGTCCCCAATAAAATCTTAAAATACACACACACACACAAATATAGATATAAGCATAAAAAAGTCTGAAGATTTTACACACATTTTCTAATTAGTCCTTACAATCCTTTTGTGCTAAATGGGTTCTCTAATTCCATCTTATAACACAAAAACCGAATTCTGAGTTAAAACATTATTGCTTGGAAAATAAATAGTAAAACCAAGACCCAGTCTAGAAAAAAAGGCTGTATCATCTATCTCTTTATACTATGTGTGGAGTCTTTCAAGTCCAGCATTTCTCTATATTCTTACATGAAGGTGAATGATGCAAAAGCAGAAATAGATAAAATGAATGTTCATACAAAATTCAAACTTGAAGAATATTTATATTATTAATTAGTTAATTAGTTACATAGAATTGACACTTAATGTTTAAAAACTTTATAACCTTATCTCTAAGATTAGAAGATGTAAATATCTACTCAAGAACTTAAAAATTCAAAACAGAAAAAAAATTCAGAAAGAGCTATAAAATGAAGTCTCTTCCCAATAATTAGATAATTGCCTACCATTTGCCAAAGGAAAGGTAGGCTAAAACTCAGATTGATGCCATTCTTTATACTTACACAATCCCAGTTTAATTCAGTCATATTGAACACATACTCATATACATTCCAACACTGAACTCCTCCTATAGAAACCATCCATATATAATCTATGTTCTCCATCCACTGTAATCATTTCTTTCTCCCTTAGTAAAGCCCAGTGTCTATTCCAAATCAGTATTATCCTAATCTGATTATCCTAACCTGTGTTCCACCATCACAGGAGGAAAAAAATCAATAAGGCTAAAATAAGAAGAAAGCCAAAAGACACAACATTTGATCATAAAGAAAACAAAAACAACAAAAAGAAAACTTCATTCAGCACATATTAAGTTCTCAGATATTTCTGAATGGATGGCTAGCATAACAAAAAAATGAGATGGTACTACGAATAAGCTGGGTAGGTAATGCTGTAAGGAATTAGGATGACCTGGACAGGCCGTAAAGAGACAAAAAAAAAAGGTGGGCCAGCCGAGTGGCTCAGTTGGTTAAGAGCTCGCTCAAGAGTTTGAGGTCTGAGCAACAGCAGTTTGAGTCCCGGCCCAAGCTGAGCAGCCACTGAGCTGCCAACAGGTGGCAGGATGGCTCAGCTAAAAAAGAAAAAAGGGGGAAAAAAAAAAAAAAAAGGTAAGCCAGGTACAGAACCATGAAAGTAATATACTCCCAGTTCTGTTTAAAAAGGAATATATAATTCTCTATGCATGATACATAACTACTTATATAGATAACACTGTATCTGTAAGGACACACTTGAAGATGAAACAGTCTTCCTCTGTCAGCTTGTAAATATGGATAGGAGGAAGACCCTGCATCATAAAGGACTTCCAGGAATGATAATGTGAAGAGGTTGGGCAATTCCCCTTCAGAGAAAACAAGGATAAATCTGGACAGGATTATAAAAACAACCATTTCAAGGCACTAGAAATGGACGGAAGGCAAAAAACAGAGAAGCATTTACTCTTGAAAAACTAAATCAACAGATTCCCAGATAAGCAAAGACTGAAAGAATTCATTGCTAGTAGACCTGCACTACAAATAAAAGCAGTCCTCCAGGCTGAAAGAAAATTACCCCAAATGGTAACTTTGATCCAAAAGAATGAAGAGCACCAGAAATGGTAAATATGTGAATAATTATGTAAAAAAGTGTTATTTTTTTCTCTTAATTAAAAAAATAAATAAGGTGGTTTATAAAGCAATAATTATGTTGTTGTGTTGTGTTTATACACTATGTAGACACAAGGCACAAGAGAGAGAGTAGGAAATAAAGAGACAGTTTCGAAGTTCCTGTAATTACCAGAACTGAGTCAATATTAACATGAAGTAGACTGTGATAAGTTAAAGATGTACACTGTCAATAAAGCTGTTTAAAAAAAAGGATGCATATTATAATTCTCAGAACCACTAAGTAACTCAAAAATATATAGCCAAAAAACCCCCAGAGGAATTAAAATAGTATAATGAAAAATATCTGCTTAACATCAAAAGGCCATAAAGGAGAGACAGGAACAAAAGACCAGAAAACAGTAAAAGAATGGAAAAATATATACCATGCAAATGGTAACCTTAAAAGAGAGCTGGGGTGGCTATACTTTTAATTGTAATCCTTTTGCACTATGTAACTTTCTTTAAAACTATGTATAAGTCTTTTAATTGGGGATAAAACTTTTAATCACTGCCAATTATAGAGGGAAAGAAAAAGTGACAAGGATCACAGTAAAAAGAACTGAAGGATCATCTTAATTCATCTTTACACATAGAGAGGTCATCTCCTATGTGATGGGACTTCATTACATGTTTACAGTTTAAAAGCATATTTGAAAACCTACCTGCTCAGGTGTTGAAGGACTCTAAATTGTGAACTTAACAATGAAGTGTAATTTTTCTTTTTATATATCTTAAATCACCTTGTAGATTTTCAAACAGAAAAGAGCTAAGCCGTTTTTTTTTAATGGGGTTAGTTTTAAACGAATTAAATTGGTTTTAAAATGCAAAGTTAAAAAATTTTTAAAGTTGCTTTGAATTTACTATTTTTAAAACTAAAGATTATTTATATTGTCCATAGCCTACATATTTAATATTTTAAATGAACATGGTCCCTCATGTTTAGAGAAAGATGGTTTTCTACCATGAAAAGATTAAATCAGCTTGGGGGTAAGCAAAAGTTTAGATATTATTATCTGCTTTGCACCTCTTCTTCTGGAAGCATCTTTCTCCGACCATCCTTTACAGGAAATCCACTTCCAAAGTCTTTTGAAGAGATATCAGCTCCATACTCTACAATAACATCTTCTTCAATGCTGCTCACAAGCCGCCAGAATTCCTTCTCTACTAGTTCTGTGGGGACCATCTACACAAGGAAAACAAAGATTATATGTTACTAACTCACTATAACCATAACCCACTATAACATAACATACAGGGTAAGTAAACACAAACCCATGATATGATAAAACAGAAAACCTTCTCCTCTCCCAAAGTCCTGGCTTTTTCCACTGAAGATGGGGAAAAGCTAAAGACAACTCAGATGTTCAGAAAAACAATGAACTTGAACTGCCTTTTTCTGCAAGCTGTTTCCTAAAACAAAGATGACCTACGGCATCAAGGAGAAAAAAAGGAAACACAAAAAATCAAGGCTTAGTTTTAATAGCTTTGGCAAATTTTTTTGCTAGGGATTTTTAAAAAGCCCAAGATCCCCTAAGAAAAGAAGTACGTAAACCTCATATTACAAATAAATGAACAAAAGCAGCAACTACCACACACTTCATGCTTTTCTGTAAAAGATAACTCATAGAGGGCTAATAAACAATTCAAAGATCAAAGCACATTTCTCAACAGGAGAGTGAATACTGCCACTTAGAATGTGAAAGAAATAGAAACAGATGCCAGGCCCCGAGGCTTCAGATTTGGTGGTCTATCATCTTTTTCATGCTGTCCGTTTTCCACAAAATAATGTAAGTAAAAAGCAAACCAAAAGTTTTAGATTTCATACTTCCCCAAACTGGCCTAAAGATAGATACTCACATGGACAGGCATATTGAAATAATCAGACTTAAAATTATCTGCCATCTCTCCAAAACTCTGAAGTGTATATTCTCGTACAGCTTGTTCAAATCCAAAGGCTTCTCGAGGTTTATTACATTCCTGGAAAAGAATATTTAAGATTAACTCATTGAAACTGAACTGAACAAAGTATTAGGGATTTTAGGCACTAACTTCTTTGATCATTTCCCTAGGTGAAGCTAATCCAATCAATCCTAGATAGCAAAACAAGTAATAATTACTTGCAATATGGAATCAGGAAATAATGTTCCAGAACCTTAATTGCATTTTTCAGTTTACCAATAAAATAGGAAGGTGGTAACAAGACACCTTTAAACTTTGGAGTTGGCATTACGCTCTGGCACCTATGGGACTACTCATTTGGAATCAAGCCCAGGGATGCCTATCATTCTCAGTATATCAGTGGACAGTGGATCTAGCTATGCAGAATATAAATGTTCATGGAGGAAGGAAGGTAATGCATAAATGTATATCCACTGGATTGCTAGGATATCTAGAAAGAATGGGGTTTTTTTTTTCACACTATCAATCACCATGACCAATATCTTAACACAAATACTCACATAGAACTGCTTTTGAATCACCTAACTTTGAGAACAGTAAGTAATAATTCAAAGGCCATTTAAGTGACCTCTGAATACATCTATATACCCCTAGCCAACTCCTTCCCTTTCTATCCCATTTTGTTAAAATAAGTAAACAGCCTAGGCATTTCATGACAATGACATTATAACCTTTCAATAAGAATTTTTCAATCAAATCAAAATTTAAACAAGTTAACAGACACCATCAGTTTATTTGATAGCACAAAAACAATGCATAATTCCTAAATTTTAGAGTTTCATGTGTAATTTTTACTTTTTTTAAATTAATAAAAACATACAGATAATCTACAGCCTTTCTTCATTTGTATTGATTTCCAGGAATATGAACATTCTGAACAAAAATTTCATTCATCTGTGGCAATAAACAGAATTGTCAAACCATAGTCAGAAAAGGAAACTTTGAAAGGCACGGTGCCACAATACAGTTTTTACAGTTCCATTCAGTATCACTGTTTAAAAATCCTGGAGATTTTAAACACAAAAACAGAGAGTGGAAGAAGCTTTGGGGAATATGTTTCCTGTATGTGTGTATGCATGTGTTATTGTTCTTAAGTTTATAAAGAATTTGTAAATCATACCTCAGCAACACACTTAGGACACCTCCAATCTCCTTTGGGCACATCAGGTAGTGGAGGAATTAAACAAAATGTATGATAGCTGTCATCACATCCATCACACAAAAGCAATTTATCTTCATTATTTCCCCGACCACAGAACATACAAACATAGAGATCAACCTGTTAAAAAACAAAGTAAAAGTGTATTTTCTGTAGTAAGTAATATTAAATTTTTACCAGGAGCTCCTTAACTGAAACAAAATAATGTACACTAAAAAATAAACATAACTTAAATCCTGAATACTTTTTTAAAATAACTGTATTCAAACAGCTCTTTCATAAAACTTCCTGAATTTCCTCAGAGCTTCTAATAGGCAAGGTAATAAAAGCATATCAAATTATTAGAATAAAGAAAGACTACAAGTCTAGGGTACTTGAAAGTCAATTTATAGAGCTAAAATACACGTCATCCTTCACTAAATACAAATACTCTTTGGTAGAGAATGAATACTGAGTACTGCCTATAACACAGCTCATGGATTTACAGATTCATATTTATTCTCTCAGTTACTAATGAGGTCTATGACTTAGGAGAACAGTCTACATGTATGGGACAAAGCAAGGTTAACATTACACAAACCAAAGCTGCAACTTTGGAGTCACCATCAAGTCTTCTAACCAAATGAATTAACTAAACAGCATACCAAGATACTAGAGCAAGATAAAAAGTGCAAAACTAAGTAAAAATAAATCCTTTCCCTCCTGACACATCTCAGAACACTTACAAAGTTAACAGAGAGAGTTCCTTTCCGTTGTCTCATTTGCATGTTAAATGCGTCTGACCTGTTGGTAACTTTTCGTCTTCGGGAGACCTCATCTTAAAATAAAAATAGTTATATAATAATAGTAAAAACTAACGTTGAGAGCTTACTCTGGACCAGACACTACTTAAAATTGTTTAAATTGTTAAAATCTCACGATACTATGTGGTAGATACACTATTATTATCCCCCACTGAAGATAAAGAATCTGTAGTATAGAGTAGATAACTTGCTCAAAATCACACAGCCAGTCAGTGGTAGATCTGGGATTCTAATCCAGGCAATAAAGCTCCAGAGAGCTTAACTATTAATTCTATACTGACTGTATGTAGTACTTATCAGGGACTAATTTGAGACTAGTTTTAAGATCACTGCCAGCTGATACAATAATTACAAGAATGGAAAAGATAATGAAAGTGCTTAATTCTTAAAAGGGTAATAATAAACATAATGTATTTTGTAAGTCCTATCACACATTTTGAGAATGATGGAACAGTATTATATGACCCTCCAGAGTTCAGTCCACAATCTGAATTATGACTTAATTACTGATATCATAAAATGTATGACTCGTGATTATAGCATTTCATTATATTCTTATACAGTAAAAACATATCCAACACAGTCTTTGTTGAATTGAGCTTTAAAACTGATACGTACATAGCGAGAAAAGTAGAACTTGATCTTTCATTAGAATTTTACTTACAAAGAATTTCAAACATGCTAAGCTGAGAACACTAGGCTTTCCTCAGAGTTTATTTAAATGAAGTGTTATATCAAGGTAATTATAGAAAATATTAAAATTACATTTAGAATTTAAGTCATAAGCATGCTCCACTATCCTTTGATACTAAAAGTCAGAGAATCCTCTATTTCCCTTTGAATTTAAGTTAAAAGCTTTAGATCACCAGGTGAGAACCATTAATTTCACTATTCTCTCATAAAGTGGCCTTTAAAAACTACAATAAATTCCTGTGTCACATATTAAGACATGCAGGAAGAAAAAATTTCTCTCTTCCAAAATATTACAGTAATTCACATCTTAAATTTAAGATTATCTCCCATTAAAAAGGTGACTTGTCTAGGAACTGTTAAAAGTTTACAATTCTTGAAATTCAACATAATGTGGCTCCTCACACCTTAAATATAAGATTCTGCCATAAAAAAGGCAATTTGTCTAGGAACCACGTTGCAAGTTGACGATTCTTAAGAAAAGCCCAAGGTAGACTGCAATTCAAATATTATTTGAATCATGCTATAGCCATATTGTTGTACCTTATTTCTTTTCATGACCAAGTAAGAGTATTTACCTTCTTTATCTTTTGTTCCCATTGCCAGGCCCACGACCTTAGGCCCAGCCCCAAAAATACGAAGTTTCTTCAGTTCTGTGTTTCTATTTACTTCTCCAGATTCTGACTAAAAAAAACAAAACAACTCACATTAGTCTAATTATTCTGATTCATACATTTCTTACCGAAGTTTCAAGATCCTCTTCAAAATGAAGAAAAAAATTATTTGATTTCTTCTAATTTCACTGGCTGCCTCATTACAACAGTTGAATACATGTTCAAAACACCATGCAACACCCAGATCCCTTCCCACTAAAGAAAATCTATCTTTCATAAAAGCACAGTTGTCAATTATGTTCTGTGCAGACAAACACTACTGGTAATAACTGGTAATAACTCAATAGAGTTAACTTGCTAATAGACACCAACTGTGATTAGAGGGTGATATGCCCATCCCAAGAGATGAACACGATTGTCCTAAGCCAACCATGTCAATACCATTTCTCTTTGTTAGTGATGACACAGCTAGGGATGGGAACGTCATCCTAGTCAAGCCAGTGAAAAGAGAGACCTACTGGAAGCCTCTGGGAAAGATTTTCATCTTCTAACAAAAGAGAAAGCTTCTCAAACAGTAAGCCCTTTTGCCCTGACTTCCTTCCAAACTGCTAGGAGAGTCTGTCTGGTGAAAGCATAGTGCTGGACTCTGCAGCAGCCACACTGCGGTTGGGAGCAGCTATATCATCTACACACTGAAGAAAGCAAGGCAGAAAGAAAGATAAGAGCCTGGGCCCTTGATGACAATGTACAGTAGCTGTATCAATCCTAGAACTACCTGTATCTCAAAAAATCTTATGTGAAAACTGTGTTAATGTTTACGCTGTTATTTGGTATTCTAGTACTTGAAGATGAGAGCATCCTGACAGACATAGCTGTTATACCTTGAATTTAGATGAAGCCTAATCTCTGACCCTAGACTAAATAACCAACGTTTATTTAAAATATACTTAGTCAATAAGAATAAAAATAGGGCCGGCGATGGTTAACAACTGGCTTGGGATGCCAGAGGGTCCCGGTTCGGATCCCACATATGAGGGCCAGTGACACTGTCCTCCACAGCTAAGATGCTGAACAACAGCTCAACCTGGAGCTGGGCTGCCGTGAGTCGCCTGCGACGGCATAGGCTGCAGCCCCTGCTGCAGTGGGTTGCCATGGGCTACTGTGTGTGGCCAGCAGCCAGCGTGAGCGGCCAGCAGCCGCAGGGAGCGGCCGCCCAGAAGCCGGCGACTGATTTGCCTCGCCCGGGAAGAGCACAATGATGGTGCCAACTTGGGCCAGTGAAGCAATGTCCCCCACAACTAGACTGAAGAACAAAACAACAGCAACTTGTCTGTTCCTCTTCCCCCAATTCCCCAATAAAAATCTTAAAAAAAAAAAAAAAGAATCAAAATAAACCAAGATAAAACTGACTACTTTATTACTCTATGGCTACATATAGCTGATGTATGCAGACTAGAATAAAAGATCATACAAGGATCAAACTGACCAAAATGGCATTTCAAAATTCATCTTAAAACTTTAGGAAACTGATTTGGCTACACTTATCAACCTCTACAACTACTTCATTGATAAACACAACACTACACAACCTTTACCACTACTATAGCAAAGTACATAATAATAAAAGCTAACACTGAACACATAATGTATGCCATGTCAAAGATTTTAATCAACTAATCCTTACAACAATAAAATTCCAAAAATCAGAAATAATAAAAGAACATTCTCTGATCTTACTGGAATAAAAACAGCAACAACAAAATAAAAATCAAAAGGCTCTCCACCAGGAATTTTTAAACTTACTATTTAAAAATGATGATAACAAAAAGACTATATATCAGAATCTCTGGAACAGATTAAAGCAGTGATCACAGGAAATTTTATAGTCTTAAACATATCAATCAAAACAAAAAATAGAAATAAATGAATTACGTTTCGAACTCAAAATGCTAGAAAAAGAACTATAACATAAACTGAAAGAACTTTGTGATGCTGGAATTAGAACTGAAATTATCAGAATCAACTGAAAATATTAAGTCATAATGATTTTAAAATTGATTTCCCAGCCCTAACATTAAAAGGGCCTATAATAAACAACGGCATCCCAGTAGGAAGAAGCACACCTCTTGCTCAGATCTTGGTTTCTAAATTCCATTTCCCACTAAAATGAACCAAGATTCTTTGGATAAATGGCTAATCCAAGGTCTAAGGCAGGACAAGAAGACAAAGAGCCTTTTTTCTGTTCAAAAACTGATGGAGACATGTCAAAAGAACATCAAGAATCAACCTGGGGCTGGCTGAGTGGTGTGCTGGTTAAGAGCTGGCTTGGGACGCCAGAGGGCACTGGTTCGGGTCCAACATATGAGGGCCAGTGACACTACCCTCTACAGCTAAGATGCTGAACAACAGCTCGACCTGGAGCTGGGCTGCCGTGAGTCGCCCGCGATGGCATAGGTTGCAGCCCCTGCTGCAGTGGGTTGCCATGGGCTACCGTGTGCAGCCAGCAGCCAGCGTGAGTGGCCGTCCAGAAGTCGGCAACTGATCTGCCTCGCCCAGGAAGAGCGCAATGATAGTGCCAACTCGGGCCAGTGAAGCAACGTCCTCCACAACTAGGCTGAAGAACAAAAGGACAACAACTTGTCTGTTCCCCTTACCCCAATTCCCCAATAAAAATCTTAAAAAGGAATCAACCTGAAGGGGCTCTTATTAGCAAAATTTGAACAATTTGATTATCAAAAAGGAATAAAAGGTGATAATAGGCATCAAAAAAACAAAAAAGAGGGCCAGCAGAGAGGCGCGATGGTTAGGAACTGGCTTGGGATGCCAAAGGACCCCAGTTCGGATCCCACATATGAGGGTCAGTGACACTGCCCTCCACAACTAAGATGCTGAACAACGGCTCGACCTGGAGCTGGGCTGCCATGAGTCGCTGGTGGCGGCGTAGGCTGCAGCCCCTGCTGCAGTGGGTTGCCATGGGCTACCGTGTGTGGCCAGCAGGCAGCGTGAGCGGCGAGCAGCCGCAGTGAGTAGCCATCCAGAAGCCAGCGACTGGTCTGCCTCACCCAGGAAGAGCGCAATGATGGTGCCAACTTGGGCCAGT